ATCCTCTTAAGAGAGAAAAGCGCGCGACCTACTCGATAAGTCGGTAATGTCAGCTTATATAATTAACGACTACGCAGCGTGCCCCTGATGCCGGCAGACGCGCAACCCGTCATACCGCTCTGTATCGTCCTGATACACCCTGTACAACATATGATTCTCACATATGTAATTCTTGCAGAGAAAACACAAGATATGCATTTCTTAAACTTACTTTACTAGATCTAGAAGTCGATGATTTTTGTGTATTATTTAGAGATATATATTTTCATTGCAAATTTCTACAGGTTTATATCTCAATTTACTATGAGAACATTCATATATAGACATTACTTATAGAAAATTTAAATATTTTCCATTGTGGGGGATTCTTTTCGGATGGCCAAATAAATTGTGAAAATGTTCGATCAGTGAAATATATTTAATCACTTGTCAGGACAGTCGGTCGGGAATTCTGTCTCGGTTACAATCTTAGACGCGCGGGAAGACGACTCTGCTTTTCTCCCTGATCCTGCTCTCTATATTCTTCTCCTTGATTCTCCTACTCCTCGATGAGGAGCCAATCCTAATCACTTACAACTGGGGGATAGTGGTGAACACACCGACTCTCCATAACCCGCTCCGACCTTTAGCGTTCTCGAAAATATAACGATCGTTCAGTCTAAACACATTCGGTCAAAAGCCGAAAGACGAATACAACCGGTCGTCTAAACATTATCGCGGGCAAACACTGCTCCAGGTCGGCTTAGAATTAATAACGCACAACAACGAATATCTTCTAACGGACTTATATAAAACGCCTACAGCTCGGCCATTCTGATTATTTGACCGACCCGGTCAATCGTTATCTTAAAACTAACGCACTTATTAAATTACAATAACATTTATACCGCTTAAGAATGTATGTAAGGGCGCATCTGGTCCGGCGCTAATACTCCCGTATACGGTCGCTGTGTCAATTGAAAGCCTTCAACGTCGACCACCACGTAACGATCGTGATCTAAGACTTTCTTTATCATATAGGGGCCTTTGTACTTTGGTATCAATTTTTTATTAATTCCGGCCGCCTTTTCGACGTTACGGATCTCGACATACTCGCCAACTTTGTATTTGCGCGCCGCCTTTCTTCTTAAATTATAACGTTCAGTGCCTTTGCGTTGCTCCTCGTTAAGTTTTCTGCTCGCCTTTTCTCTGAGTGCGTCCAAATTTTGCTCGACATTAACATTTCTTTCGATTATTTCTCGAAGCGAGTCGTTCGCGGGACCTCGCTGTTCTATACCAAATAACAAACGCGTCGGGGTCTCGCCGGTCACGCGACACACAGTGTTATTTATCGAAAACTCGATCTTGTCTAACACACGGTCCCACCTAGACGGTGCCTCACACAACTTCGCAAGCATAGGAGTGATCATTCTATTGTATCGTTCGACTTGCCCATTCGCCCTGGGCGTGCTTACGGCTACCAGGACATGCTCTATTGTTTCGGATCTTACAAATTCTTTAAACACTTCAGAGGTGAAACATATACCGCGATTGGATATCAAACGCCTCGGTCTACTATACGCGCGAACATAATCGCTCAAATGCTTCATCGTTTCTTCCGTCGTCGTAGATTTACATGGATACAACCTGATAAATTTGGTGAATGCGTCGATGATTACCAACAAGTGCCGATAGCCCTTTCCCGTTTTCTCTAGCGGGCCCATATGGTCAAGATGTATAGTCGCAAACGGTACATTTTCCTACGGTATGCTATGCAAATATCCTTCCGCTCTGCCGCTCGGCGGAGAGAACTCGATACACCTAAGACAGTTATTTATATACTCTCGCACCTTCGCCCGCATTTGAGGAAACCAATAGACCCTCGCAATGTTCTCGATAACCTTGTCGACCCCTACGTGACCTAGGTCGTCGTGATACGTTCGAATCACGTTTGACTCTATCGGACGCGGAACATAGAACAATAGTTTCTTATTTTTCTCCTTTCGGTAGACTATTCCGTCTCGCAACTCATAATATTTTACGTCGCCCTTCTCGAGCCCGTCGCGTATTCTCCGGACCTCATCGTCGCGATCCTGACAAACGGATAGAGTTCTTTCTAGCGTACTACCCTCGAGCACGAGCACACTGTGGCAACGACTGAGCGCATCTACATGACCCATTCGCTTCCCGGGACGGTGAACTATTTCATAGTCATAGTTCTGCAACATCAGAGCCCAGCGCGAGATTCGAGGGTTAACATCTTTCTTATTTAAAGTCAGCCGGAAGCTGTCATAATCCGTTATAATTTTAAACTTTCGCCCCGCAAGATACACATGAAATCTTTTTAACGCGTACACGGCAGCAAGACACTCGAGCTCGAAGCTATGATACTTCGACTCAGCAGGGGTGGTACGTTGACTCCAAAAAGAGATCGGGCGCCACGCACCATCCGTCTGTCGCTGGAGCAATATTCCACCGAATCCGCTCGCGCTCGCATCGCAATGCAGTTCCGTCTCCGCACGCGGGGAGTAAATCGCCAGTACGGGTTTACTCGACAGCCGTCGCTTAAGCGTCTCAAATACAGAATTCTCAACAGCCCCGAACTTGTAGGTCGCGTTCTTCTTTATTACAACGGTTTCGCTATCACGGAGAAACTCGGAATAAACCGGCGGAAATAACTCGCGAGCCCGATGAATCGCTGCATCTCTCTAACATTTCGCGGTATCGGATAGTTAACAACAGATTCAATATTCTCGTCGCTCGGCCGAACACCGTGACTATTCACACAATATCCGAGATACTTTATCTCCGTCCGGGCAAAGTAGCACTTATCAAGCCTAAACTGCAATTTATTCTTTCCTGCGATCTCAAAAACCTCGGACAAAATCTCGATATGCTCATTTATATCTTTAGTCGCAATTAACAAGTCATCAAGGTATACTAATATTTTATTGCTTCTAATTAGCGGTTCGAAAACCGTGTGTACATAGCGCTGGAAAACGCGCGGCGCGTTCGCCAGGCCAAACGGCATTCTCAAATACTCGAATTGCCCGAGCGAGATCACGAAGGATGTATACTTCGTGGATGACTCATGCATCCTTACGTGATGAAACCCGTCCCTTAAATCCAAGATCGAAAAATACATTTTACCCTGTAGACGATCGATATTATCGTCGATCAACTCCGTGGGAAAATTATCTCGAATCGTTATTTTATTTAGTTCGCGGTAGTCCACGCACAACCGGCAACCACCGTCTTTCTTCCTTACCATAACGATCGGACTAGCGTACGGTGAGCTACTCGGACGAATGATCGCCCTCTCCAAGAGATCATCCAAAATCTTGCGCAAGATCTCCTTATCCGCAAACGACAATCTACGCGGACGCGAACTTATCGGTTGCTCATGTTTGAGCGCGATATTCATCTCGAAATCGGGCATGCCTTTCGTCTCTCGCAAATTCATAAGATAACACGACTCATACGCCTCGCTAATTCGCACAGACACACTCGCACCGACAGCGGGATCGATTTTCAACTCGCTCCCCAAATGAACCGAATCATCACTGCAGTCGATATGCATCAGCGAACTAATAGCGCACTTTTCTTCGACACCCGTTATCTTAATCGTATCACCGAAAGTTACGCATAGTCGCGGACAATTTAAAAAATCTCTCCCCAGAAGGACATCAAACGCCATCGTCTCCCTCGGCACCGAATAAAATTTCATCGCGATTTCAACGCCACCGACCTCGAGACTTCCGGAAAAGATACCGTCAATCCTCAACCGCGAGCCGTTTATCCCACAAAACGGATATTCGCTCCCCACCTCCCGGCGCGCATCGCACGCGATCGCATCGCTCCGCACCAGGCTAACGGGTGATCCGGAATCAACCATTGCATTGACGATATACGTACATTTCTCGCTCGCGTTCTCGGGGGTGATTTTTACGCGCAACATATATGGCTTCGGCAGGTCCACCGGATGCACCACGTTCGTCGAAACAGCCGCCGCCGAGTCCCTCGCCGTCCCCGATGTCGAGGCCCGATCCCGCCTCGAGCATTCTCTCGCCAAATGCTCGGCAGATCCACACACATAGCACGTTCTTTTCGCGGGCGCCTGCCTGCACTGTGCCGCGACGTGCCCCACTTCACGACACCGGTAACATTTCACCGTCCTTTCTCTCGCCGCTGTTTCCGCTTTCCTGCCGCTCGCCACCCCTGCCGCGGCCTTCCCGGTCCTGACGTTGCCCGATCTCTCGTCTTCTGGTCGAACTTTTTCAAAAGCTTTTAACAGCTCAGCTCCGGTTGTGTAGTTCATTGAACAGGCCTGATTCCTCAGTCGTACGTCTGTCACACCCTCGATAAGATAATCGAGAATCTCGTTTTCCGCAACTGGTATGCGGTTGGCCAGAATCATTTTGTCGTGATAGTATTCGCAAAACGATTCGCCCTTCTTCCACACTCGTGTCTCGAATTCTTTTCTGAGGGCTAATTTGCCGGGTTGAAGGTCAAACATTTGCCCCATCTTTATCAACAGGTCTTCCGTACCCAACGTGAGATATTCAGCACGTGAGTAGAACCACGTTAGAGCCCGCCCTTTCAACCTAGAGCTAATCAGCATTCGCGTCGAACTCTCGTCCAGGTTGTACGACTGTCTCAGCAAGTTCAGTTGTTGTTTCGACCTCCAGAAAGCGTTGTCTGTCCCGTCGAACTCCGGTAGTAAGTCTTTAATTCCACGGACACCACCCGGCATCGAACTCGTGCCACTCTCCGTCGTCGCACCTCTTACAGCAGGGGAGTTTCGCAACACCTCCAGTTCTCGCCTCCATAACTGTTGTTCTCTCTCTGCACAATCCCTCTCTCGTCGCAGAATTTCAAGTTCTCGTCTCATCGCGTTTTCGCGTGCCTCCAAATCACACGCCGCGACAATCTCAGGCTCTCCTCGCGCTCGCATTCCTCCGTCAGTCGTCCCCCCCCCCCGGACATCCCGTCGTCACCTTCCGCCAGGTGCACTTCCTCCGGGTCCGAATCCGTCCTTAAAGGAGCATCTTTCCTCTGCTCCTCCAACTCCTTCCATACGTCCGGGTTATGCTCGCTCAGCCGCTTGATAAGTTCGTTCTTCACTCCACTCGTAGGTAGCCCCCGTTCACGGAGAGCCTCTTTCAACTCGGCCACCGTAAAGTCAGATCCCGGGACCGGTTCCATTTTCTTCGCGTTCCTGACGTTCAACTCCGAATCCCACTTCTGAAGCTGTGGGGGATTCTTTTCGGATGGCCAAATAAATTGTGAAAATGTTCGATCAGTGAAATATATTTAATCACTTGTCAGGACAGTCGGTCGGGAATTCTGTCTCGGTTACAATCTTAGACGCGCGGGAAGACGACTCTGCTTTTCTCCCTGATCCTGCTCTCTATATTCTTTTCCTTGATTCTCCTACTCCTCGATGAGGAGCCAATCCTAATCACTTACAACTGGGGGATAATGGTGAACACACCACTTGTGATTATGCCATTGTGAAGACTATAAAAACAATAAAACTTTTATCTAAAACATTTTTCCATAAAACTTATATTTTCGAAGATATTCGTAAAAAATGAAAAAATCCGTTATTTTCGAGGGGTTGTTTCACCCCCTAAACGCCGAGTAAAGCCGATAAAAAAATACGGGTCTAATACTTTTTATGTTCTACAACATATCCAAAGCTCGTTGAAATCGGTGAGGAACACTTCCGACCGTTCCCTTGTAAGTTACACTGAGCGCGCGTGCGAAGTATAATAATACCACAAAAATCTTCTGTACAAAAATATCGTCTCTAC